AAACGCCTTTAATAATCAAACGCTTAACAAGAATGCATGAAAAAAAACGTTCAAACGCTCCTCACACATTAGGGCGTTTAAACGCGTTCGACTCAAACGCAGATTTTTACAAAACGCGTTTAAACGCCCAAAACAGCGTTCAAACGCGTTTTCTCTCAAAATTTTCCAAAAACTAGCGTTCAAACGCGTTTTTTCGAACGCAAACGATTACATGGGCAATGCTTTTTCAAATTGAAGAATAATTCGAATAAAAGAACGAAATGATAACATTTTCTTGTTATCAAAATCTTTTATATCTGAATTAAGATTAGTTAAAATCCAATCAAGACGATGATAAACTGGGAGATCATGTTGATTATCAGCAATAGCACTTGCTTTTGAATCGATCTCTTCTCGACAAGACATTAAATTTTTAATAATTACATCTAACGATGATCTATTCAAAGAGAAAAAACCGAACAATTTTTGTATTATTTAAAATCTTATTTTCACTAAAATTTGTTGTTGTTTATCAGGTAAAATAATTTTTTCAAAAGCTAATAATTTTTTCCATAAATAATTTGAATCTTTATCAAACTGAGTACATAAAAATTTAGCTTTTCCATTAATTATTTGTATCACAATGTCCATGATCAATATTTGTCCAAGCTTCTGAACGTGCTTTTAATGATGTTGGGTGATCTAACACTTTAAACTGAATTCGATTCACAAATCTATCAAAATTTTCATAGGAGATATTTTTTAATCGCGTTAATGGCCAACGAGATTTTCCTCGATCAGTATCAAATAAAGATTTGATTACAGGAAGATAATCATCCTGTGCAGCTTCTTCAAGAATTTTCCAAAGTATTGGACCATCAGTTGTTTTATTTGATCTACCAACAAAATGAAGTAAAGTAAAAATAAGACATGCACGAACATCTTGATGAGCTCGACATAAAGGTTTTACAATAGATCTTATTTAAACTTGATTTAGATGTAAGGTGCCGGCAATGCGAATTTCGAGTAAGATTTTTTTTGCTTTTTTTTTATACCATTTGATAGAGTGTGAGCTGCTGATCACGAAAAACTACTTTTCAGCCTTAGCAAATACTTCCTTCCGGTCAAAAAATACGAAATACTGCGAAGATGTCATTTTTCGAGAAAAACACATCTTTTTCGAAATGTGCAAAATTTTCTACTTTGTTCATTTTTTCGGCTTCTGAAAATAATTTTTTCAGATTCAGCATCAAA